CCTAGATGGTATGCTTGATGAGCTTAGCGGTGCCACTATATTTTCCAAAATTGATCTTAAGAGTGGTTACTACCAAATCCGCATACAAGAGGGTGATGAATGGAAAACCGCCTTCAAAACCAAGTTTGGTTTGTATGAGTGGTTAATCATGCCTATGGGTCTCTCGAAAGCACTGGGCACTTTTATGCGCCTTATGAATCATGTCTTTCGCCCTTACATTGGTATATTTGTTGTGGTCTACTTTGATGACATTCTTGTGTTTAGCAAATCTATCAAAGAGCATGTCACCCATGTCCGCACCGTTTTGCAAACTCTTAGAAAAGAGCGCCTCTATGCTAATATGGAGAAATGCCTTTTTGGTGTTGATAAGCTCGTTTTCTTGGGTTTTGTTGTTTCTTCTAAGGGTGTTCATGTTGATGAGTCCAAGATTAATGCTATTAAGACTTGGCCGCAACCAACCAACTTGCATCTAGTGCGTAGTTTTCTTGGCCTTGCGGGTTTTTATCGTCGCTTTGTGAAGGATTTTAGCACCATTGCTTCGCCTTTGCATGCTTTGAGCAAGAAGAATGCGCCTTTTGTTTGGGGACCATACCAAGATACCGCATTCAATGAGCTCAAGAATTTGCTTAGTCATGCTCCCGTGCTTGCTTTACCCAACTTCGATAAGCCTTTTGAAATTCATTGCGATGCTAGTGGTAATGGCATAGGAGGTGTGTTAATGCAAGAGAAGCACCCCATAGCTTACTTTAGTGAGAAACTTTCCGGAGCGCAACTCAATTATCCCATCTATGACAAAGAGCTATATGCTTTAGTCCGCATTTTGCGTGAATGGGAACATTACCTTCGTCCCCATGAGTTTATCATTCATACCGATCATGAGACTCTCAAGTATCTTAAGGGACAAACGAAGTTGAACAAGCGTCATGCTAAATGGAGTGAATTTATTGAGTCTTTTCCCTATGTCATCAAGTACATCAAGGGTAAAGAAAACATAGTAGCGGATGCTCTTTCTCGCATATGCATGCTTGTCACGCAACTTGAGTTAGATGTCATTGGCTTCGAGCATATCAAAGACTTGTATGAGCATGATGTAACTTTTGCTACTCCCTATGCCAAGTGTTTGTCGAATACATCTTGGGAACGCTATTACATTAAAGACGGCTATCTTATGAGAGCTAACAAACTTTGCATCCCCGAGTAGTCTCTTCGTTTGTTGCTTTTGCAAGAATCGCATAGAGGAGGCTTAATGGGACACTTCGGACGCGACAAGACGTTCGCCACGCTCTCGAAGAGCTACTTTTGGCCAAAGATGTTTTGGGACGTCAATCGTTTCACCAACCGGTGTTCTACATGTCGCAAAGCTAAGTCCAAAGCTCAATCTCATGGTCTCTATATGCCTTTACCAATTCCATACCAACCATGGGAAGACATTAGCATGGACTTTGTACTTGGTTTGCCTAGAACTCAAAATGGGAAAGATTCCATATTTGTCGTTGTGGACCGTTTCTCAAAAATGGCACATTTTATTCCTTGCCACAAGATAGATGATGCTTCACATGTTGCTAATCTCTTTTCTAGGGAAATTTTGCGTCTCCATGGTGTGCCAAAAACCATCATCTCGGACCTCGATGTCAAGTTCCTTAGATACTTTTAGAAGACCCTATACGCCAAACTCGGAATCAAGCTACTCTTCTCCACGGCGTACCATCCTCAAACCGACGGCCAAACTGAGGTGACAAACCGCACACTCTCCGCTCTACTTCGAGTACTCATCAAGAAGAACATCAAGGAGTGGGAGGAGTGTCTACCCATCGCCGAGTACGCCTACAACCGAGCAAGACACTCAACAACCGGCAAGTCCCCTTTCGAGGTCGTCTACGGATTCAATCCTTTGTCACCATTGGATATTCTATCTCTACCACTCCATGCGCGAATCAATTTGGACGCAAGTGCAAGAGCGACCCATATCAAGAAGGTGCATGAAGATACAAGAAACACCATCGAGCGCCAATTACAATGCCTTGCGACCAAGCTCAACGTCAACAAGCACCCTATGATATTCAACATTGGAGACCTCGTGTGGCTACACCTTTGCAAGGACCATTTTCCCCAAGAATGCAAGTCCAAATTTCGACCACGCGCGGATGGACCATTCAAGGTGCTTGCACGCTACAACAACAACGCTTACAAGATCGACATTCCTCGTGAAAAGTACTCCGTGAGCGACATCTTCAACATCAAAGATCTCTCGCCCTACCATGGTGATGAAGATTTCGATCCGAGGACGGATCTTCCCCAAGGGAGGGGAGATGATGCGGAGCATCCCAAGATCATCCCCATGGACGCACCCACACCTCCAACGGCACCACTTGGAGCAATGACATGAGCTCGAGCCAAAGCTATCGAAGATAAGGTGAACTCACTCCTCTCCGAACTTCCACTTTATATACATGAGACATGGCTATTACCTAAGTCCGAGGTGTTGTGCATGATTAGGTACCAAGAGGGTCCTCCCGAAGATGCGCATGAAGATGTACAAGTCCCCAAGTCCACGGATGAGGAGAACCAACGGAAGGAGCCAAGAGCATCTCCCAGGCCCCGGACATCCGGCCAAGGCCCCGGACATCCGGCCCCTGGAGCGCCTTCCTCTACAGCAACCCAGCCGCAGAAGGCTACAGGCCCCGGACATCCGGCCCCGGCAGCCCGGACATCCGGCCCCTCCCGAGCGCCCGAACATCCGGCCACCGGCCCGGAAATCCGGCCCCTCCGAACCCGAGAGCAACAAATGTCACCGCTCCAGCCCGGACATCCGGCCCCCCTAGCCCGGACATCCGGCGTCGCCTGAACGCCCGGACATCCAGCCCGACGCCCGGACGTCCGGCCTCCCTGTCTACGCACGGTAAAGGGGCGAGGCCCGTGTATCCCCTTCTTCCCCTAGACTATATATACTCTTTCCCGTACAACTTTCTAGGGTTAGCATTGGTTTAGCTCATACTTAGAGATAGAGCTTCGCTCATCCATATCAGATCTACTCCTCGTGAGAGACCGCAGCCTCTTCGGAGAAGATCCCTTTGGATTCAAGACCTCCTTTCGGAGAAGAACTTCAAGACCTCCTCACGGAGAAGACCGGCTACCCTTGTATCGTCCTTAGTTGTCCGTGGATTCGTGTATCGTTCTATGTATCCGAGGATCTAGCACATGTGTGACTTGTTCTTGTTAGTTTGAGTGTTCCTCTTGTGTTTCCCCTTGTGTTTTCCCCCGTTTTCCCTCGTTTCCCTCTTTGTGTTCCTCATCTTCTTCGTGGGATCCACTCCTTTCGTGAAAGATCGGGCGATTAGGGTTCTACCATACATCAGGTCTTCCCGCCATCGCTCCGACCTGCCTGCTGCCGCTGTGTCGCCCCTTCGGGCCATAGCGCCGCGGCCCGCGGCCCACTCCGTCGTCACCGCGCGTCGACCTCCCATGGTATGCGCCGTGACGCCACCACCGGCGCGGGAATGCCACCGTCCGCGTCGGTCGTCGTCACGCCATCAGGTTCCTCGCCTACTTCGAGCACCGCCGCCACGCTCCTAACTTAGTCGCCGCCGCTCTTCTTTGGCCGCTGCCGCTGCTACCCCTGTAGCCGCCGCCCGTCCACCCCCTTCGTCTTCGTCCAGCACCAGCCTGTCGCCAGTGTCGCTGTCATCTACTCCGACAACCGTGGGCGACATCGGCCCCGTGCCGATTGGTGCCGCAACCGTCGCAGAGTCCTTCTCTGCTGGCCTCTCTAACTTCTTCGACATGGCGTATAGCTCGTGTAGGTCCTCATCTATGCATGCCCGATGCCGGCAACACCGATGCGTGCCTTCATCCATGACGTGTCCCCAGGCCTGGAAAGCCTGGTCGGTGCTTCGTCAACTTCGTCTTCGTCTGTCTTTCGCATGCCCGGTGCTGGCAACACCGACGCGTGCCTTCGTCTACGGCGTGTCTCCGGGTTTGGCAAACCAGGCCGACGCCTCGTCAACACCACCCTCCTTCGGCGCACCACTACCTCGACACCACTGCGCCCATGACTAACTCGGCGCCTCCTTGCACCTGCGGCTTCACGACAATTTCCTCAACACCGGCCACCCCGACTCGACATCGACCACGACATTCTTCGCAGGGCTACCTTCGACCATGGCTACACCACCCACGCTCTCGGCTACATTGACAAACGACATAAAGGGCTACCGCCTTGCTTGGACAACCTCATCGGGTTCCACTCCAACTACGACTTTCGCGATGCATCGACAGTTACGACTGGGGGACGGGGGACGGCTTGCCTTCGGATTCTTCTCCAGTCTCACCGTCCGCGTCGCTACCGTTGTAACTGCGGGGGGATGTTGGGTATTATGTTTAGTTAGAAAATACTCCCTCCGTTCGGAAATACTTGTCATCAAAATGGATGAGATAGACTAGAATATGTTTCGGTTTGTCTTGTACTTCAAGTTGACCATGTAGTACTCTTATATATATATATATACCCACAATGCTCAAGCAATAATACAACGATTCCGCCAATTTCCTCTCTCTTCTTTCTAACACTTTTGGTTTGCGGAAAACAAACGACCGAACTGACCCATGCACCCATGTGTAATGGTGTTGGATGACAAACTGCGGCCGGACAGCAAGACCTGCCGGTGATTTTGAGGGATGCCCTGACGTGACCCTACCCACCGCAGTCTACGTAGTCGACATGCCCGATGCCCTCCGGGATCATGTGCCGACATCCATGGTGGATCGGAGGATGGTAGCGAGCGCGAGACCTGACAGGCACGTCGGTAAAATGGGCAGAGCTCACGGGCACGGGGATCCACAACCTCCACGCATCCCCCCCTCTCTTCCTCGTTCGCTTGCTGGGCCCCACTTCCCCTCCACGCGGTACGCGGACACGACGCTTCCGTCGCAACCCCCACACCTTTCCGTCCCGCCGGCCCATCGGCCGCCGCCTCCCTGCGCACCCAGCCGAGGAGACCGCCATGATGGCGGGCGCCTCAGGCTCAGTCGAAGAGGAGGGAGGACTGAGGGCGGAGGAGTCCCCGTCCGGCGGCGTCGACGTCTGGAGCGACGCCGTCTCCTCCCACGCCCCGGAACACCTCCTCGTCATGGTCCACGGCATCCTCGGCAGGTGCGTGCGCCGTCCCCCCCGCCCGCGTGTGTTTTGCGCCTAGTGTCGGCTCACGAATTTGATCCAACATCTCGCACTCGTAGCCAGGCTACAAATCTGTTTCGCCCGGCAGCAGAATGGACCAGTGGCAGAATGGAATCCGTAAGTAATGCGGGGCATTGCTTGTGCCATCGGGCATGCTAGAGTGGGTAAACATGGGATTCGGCGGAGTCAGTTGCGGCTCAACCGCTAGTTACTGCAAAACAAGAACTACTACTAGTTACTGCGATTTGTCAAACTGGATGGTCAAGCGTGTGGTGATGCCCTTTGAGTTGTATTGTTCAGTGCTTTTCGGTCAAATCAGAGAGTATGATACGGCATGTTCGGTAGAGTTTGTTTCAAGCACCTGATGATCTGTTTGGAATAGGACGGCCCCAAATTATCTTTGTTCCTGGAGGATTTTATGGACAACATGGTTTGTTACTGAATGAAGAAGCCCTATGCTCGATGATCTGCCAATAGAAAAGATCAGTATCCGCCCATTCAGCTCAGTCAATCAACCGCTGTTTGTTCGTTATGTTAGGCCCACACCTCTTGAAGTTACCGTTATCGTTTATTGGAATTGTTCTTTAACCCTTGGAACAGCCAAGCAAAAGCTACTCCCTCTGTAAAGAAATATAAGATCGTTTAGTGTCTAAATCATCTTATATTTCTTTACAGAGGGAGTACTAGGTTATAAATAAGATTGTTTGCATGCTCTGTTGAGACGAGGTCCAGTTCTTAATTACAGCTGATCGTTGATCTTTTCATTTCTCAAAAATGGCACCTAGATGTGCTTCTTTACAAGTGCTTGCCAAGTTTGTGTTTTCATTTCTGAACTGATAACCCCTTCTGCTCAAATCTTCTCTTATTGATCAGTTTGTTTATCTTTTCCTTTGAGCAGTACCAATGACTGGCAATACGCAGCCAACGAATTTGTAAAGCAGCTTCCTGATGATGTAATTGTGCATTGTAAGTTACTGGATTTTGTGCTTTAACCAACTACATTTGCTAATTTGCCTAATTTTCATGCTTTATTTTTTTTATTAATCATCCATGCCATTGTTTTGTTCTATAAATTAATTGATAATTATTAATGAAAATGTATGTCTGTTTGACAAAAAGTAAATAAGAAACCATTGGGCAGTTTGTTCATTATTTCTTTCACATACCTGAAACTCAAGTGAAACCGCCTCTTTTATATCAACGAGTATATCTCTATTTTTTCTTGACATGTCACTGTCGATGTTTAGTCATAGATCTGTCAGAGTTGTTCCATTCTGAACTATAGATAAGGATATTAGGATACTCACCCAGAAATGGTTTAACATAATGTCAGTTGGTAAGCTGTGTGGCGCGTGCACATGTGTGTATCTGGATATTAATTAGTAGTCAATCACAGGGATGTTCTTGACAAGGCTGCATTAAAAATGTATATTTCAAACTAAATATATCGCTATTAAACATGATATTTTTTTATAGGAGAACTAACACCAATGGTCTAGATAGAACTAATATTTTGGCATGTTTTTTTTCGACTGAATACTGTGAGGCAAAAGCCCCACAGTCTTTTATTAAAACCTCCAGCACAGTCTTACAAAAGAAAATATGTACAGAGCTAAAAGAAACTAAGCTAACTAACTACTCCCTCCGTTCCTAAATATTTGTCTTTCTAGAGATTTCAACAAGTGACTACATACGGAGCAAAATGAGTGAATCTACACTCTAAATATGTCTATATACATCCGTATGTGATAGTCCATTTGAAATCTCTAAAAAGACAAATATTTAGGAACGGAGGGAGTAGTTAGGAAATTACCTATATACATCAGTGATCAGTCTAATTACAACCAGCACCATAATCACCATGAGACACATCTATGGTTCTAGGGTAATGCTCTTATCCAGTGCAGCAGCAAGGGCTTTACAGATGGTTTCATTCTATGAGAATGCAATGTGATATCATGAATGAATTTTGCCTTCCATGCCCCAAAGGTTGGCCTGATGTGCCTAAATATTTTATCATTCCTTGTAGTCCAGATACTCCATGCAGCCAAAAATACAACCTCAAAGAAGAAGGGTTTATGAAACCCTCTTTTTGCAACCAAAATACATTCCCTGATGGACAAACCAGCATGCCACTGTATTTGCAAATAATTCCAGACCCTGGTACTGAAATTGCACTTAAAAAAGAGGTGATCTCTATGTTCATGTAGCTGCGCAGCACACATTGGACATAGGTTATCATCTTCCTCAGATCTCCAATGTCTTCTAAGGAGCATATCTCTTGTGTTGAGACGATCATTAAGCATTAACCATGCAAAGACCTTGATTTTCACGATGCATTTGCTCTGCCAGATCCATTTGCAAGGGTCATCATTGGGTAGTGATATTTTGGCATGTTTAAACTATAACGTTGTACCTGATGTACCATGATTGAAATGCAAACTTGGAACCCTTTCTGAATTTGTAACTTCGAGGGAAACATGGGTAGTCTATAAGTTTACTCATCGAGATTTTGTTATTTAGACTTGTTTGTTCAACTTTGCAGGCAGTGAGAAAAACATGAACACATTGACTCTAGACGGTGTCGATGTTATGGGAGAACGCTTAGCAGATGAGGTAATTGCCATATGCAACAGATGATTTGTACTTGAGGGGCTAAATTTATACAGGCTAGCTGATTCACCATACTGATTTTTTCTATTGAAAGGTTTCTGCGATTCAAAACACCATACTGATTTTTCTATTGAAACGTGCTATTGTTCTCTTCTTACTCAGGTTCTTGATGTAATTAGTCGAAAGCCAGAGCTCACCAAAATTTCTTTTCTTGCACACTCCGTTGGAGGCTTAGTAGCAAGATATGCAATTGCAAAACTTTATAGACATCCAAATAGCACATTTGACAGCAAAGCTGAAGGAACCATATGCGGGTTGGAAGCGGTGAACTTTATAACCGTAGCAACGCCTCACCTTGGTTCTCGAGGAAACAAGCAGGTACTTTGTTGACTGTTTCCCCCTTCTCCACCTTGACTTTCATGTGTTCAAATTTGTTTATTTGAAACAGTGCGGATGATACCTGTTTTGGAACTAATACATAGCCATTTGCTCATTTATGTTCCAGTATTCTTATGTCAAGTCTCATTTGTTTTTGCATGCCTCGTACAGTCATATACTCCATCCGTTCCAGTTTGCTAGCCCCTCTCGTTTTTTGAGTCTAATTTTGACCACCGATTTCATTTAACCAACAAAATATGAGATATGTGCCACAAGAAGTATATCATTGAATTCACATTCAAAAGAAGTTTCCAATGGTATACTTTTTGTGGTAATTTACTCATATTTTGTTAGTTAAATCCATGGCCAAAGTTATACTCAAACCGAAACAGAGGGAGTATTAAAGTTTTGGATACTTATAAGAGATGCTTGAGTACTACTCCCTCCATCCCATAATGTAAGACGTTTTTTGACACTACACTAGTGTCAAAAAACGTCCTATATTATGGGACGGAGGGAGTAGATGTTTACTGTTTGTTTTCATTTGCTTCAATGCATTTGATGCACATTAAATGGCTCCACAAGGGATACCCAATCTTCCAAGGTTTTGGAGGAAAAAAAAGAGAGAAGGAATTTAAACCTTTTCTTATAAGAAACTTACAAAACTGTTGCAATGCCTCTGAGCACTTGCCCCTCTAAGATCTAAAAATACTCCTCTCAAGACTACCTTGAGTACTTCTCGCAATAAATTGTTATCCTACACAGTTTTGTTTTCATTGGCTTAAAAGCGTTTGATATACATAGAAGGGCCCAACAATGACTGCCAATATTGTGAACCTGCACAGTTTTGTTTTCATTGGCTGTGATACACATAGAAGGGTCCCACAGGGACTGCCAATATCTTCTAGAATTGTGGAGGAAGAAAGAGATGTGTTTCTATTACAAGAAAGTTACAAACTGTTGTCATGCCTCTTGGCTCTTGCCTTCAGGAGATCTACAATAAAATCCTGCAGAGCTTCATTTTGAAACAGCCTCATGGATGAAACCCGCACTCAGGCAATAGTTGACACTTGACAGATGGAAATCACACTTTTTACTTGCTTGTATCACTGAATCATTTTGCTGACTTATATATCTATGATCTTGGAACGGTTTATTGGATAAACAAACCATTTTGTACAGTTGATTCGTGCTGACTTATGAATCTAGTGATATTATCAGACTCTAAACATCTCTACTATTAAAGGGGGATCGAACGTCGTGATGGTTCGACCTCGTTCGATCCCCCTCCCTTCGAACTCCCACACGCACGCAGCAGCCCACCAACATAGCCCACGTACGAAAAAACACCAACTCAGCGCCCGCAAAAAAAAATACAACAACTCAGCCCACGTACGAGATCCACAGTTCAACACACGAACGATAAGTCCATGGAACCCCACGATCGCGCCCAGTCAACAAAAAAACAGCTCCGCAATCCACGAACGAGGACGAGGTCCATCGACCAAAAATCAAACTTCTTCGACCCGCCAACGAACGCCAGTTCTTCCTGGCGTACGAGCTCCATCAAGACGCCAGTTCTTCCTGGCGTACGAGCTCCATCCACACGCGAAAGCACGCCGCCAAAACAGAAACGCCGCTTCAATCGTCGTCCGGCCACATCGTTCGCACGCGAGCTGTGGGAGCTGCAGCCTCTGCTGGTCGCCTCCAAACACAACCTCCGCTCGACGGTTGTTGCTGCGTCATCTCCTGAGCGCGCCTACCGTCTTCTTTCTCTCCGATGGCAAAGGAAGTTATGTTTCATGGTGCCTGAACTCCCTAGGTTTGCCATCCTGACCTGTTCAAAACTTCATAATGTTAATACTCAGATTGCATCTTTAACTTATTTGAACATATCACTTATTCCCCAAAGTTGCAAAATCTAATCAGTCTATAATTTTGCCCAGTAAATTTTAACACCATTTGGTAGATCATGCAGGAGAAAGATTGCAAGTGTACAGTGAAGTTAGGCCATAATTCTGCCCAGTAAAGTTAGGCCATTATTTTGCACAACAGTAAGGCACCCCATAACTAAACAGAAAACACAGAACAAAGCAGAAAGAGGCAACTAAAGAGGCACATACCTAGCATAATGTACTGACATTGTAGTTAGAGAAGCAAATTGTATAAACTTGGGCTTTGGCAAGATAACAGCAGGTATGCCCATTGAGAAAAACATGTAGCAAGCTTCCAATCTACCACCAAGGATAATGACGTCTCTATCTAGCATCTACCCAGTTTCAGTAAATTAAAACAGGCTGATTGTTACGGTCTTGTATGTTGTCACCTGGACCAAATCCCACCATGTTTTTGTATGGAGGACGATGCAAAAAATGCAGGAGAGAGAAACAAATAAATCTAATTTTGGCAATCCAGTACAGACAATATGTATTATATCACGTAGTATGAAGAAACAAAGTCAAGCACTTACGAGAGCCTTTGGTGCAGTGAAATTTTGAGTGGGAGTCTGTATTATTACAGTTTGGTACCATCCAAATGACAGCCCCGTAAATCAGCTCCAGCCGACACACACCTTTGCTTCCACAGCTCATGCATAACCAGCCGACACACACCTTTGCTTCCACAGCTCATGCATAACCACATACCCGGGGATTCAAATCAACCTACAAGAATATTAATCCATTAGTCAGATCCAAGATGACACCAAACCAAATTGGTTAGGATGTGTGTCGATGCTTGGTGGCTTCGCCCGCCATCACCGAGCTATCAAAATCACAAGGCTACTGCTCGCATTTCACAAACACATCATATTACAATCACATGCCTCATTTGGACGTCATATGCCCGAACTCCCTAGGTTTGCCATCCTGACCTGTTTCAGCAAGCAAAGTAGTTATACTAGACTCCTGTTCAAAACTTCATAATGTTAGTACTCAGATTGCATCTTTAACTTTTACTCCAACTACATTGAACAAGTTCTGGCATCTCAAATGTGTCTTTTCAGCAACTACATTTGAACATAGCACTTATTCCCCAATTTACAAAATCTAATCAGTTATGCCACCTGTTCTGTTCCCACAGTTAAGTTCCTATAGTATGTCATATCATTTTTATAATGCAAAAAGACTGTAGGTTTATTTTAGTAAGAAGAACATGTGTTGAAACTGTCAAAATAATCTAGGAAATTCTGAAATTGCAGTATAAGATTAGGTAACCTCAGACCATGTTTACTTTTACTGGATTCTAGAAGAATCGTAAATGAAAATGAAACATTACATCATGGGAACAAACATGCCTCGCGACAGGAATAGTGATAGAAGGAAATACTTTCATTTAAGCTCACCTCCAGAATACTTTCTCTCCACTCCTTTCCCTCCACCTTCATTCTTGTCGCCATGTCTGAGCCCTCTTTTTACTGAAATATACAAACTTCATCCGTCAACATATAATAGCACAATCATTTTACTTTGGAAGAAACCATATGCGAAGAACATGTCTATGAAAATGAACAAGTGAGTCCTAAAAGCATGTTAAATGAGTCACCATAGGTCATATCATTTTTGTAATTCAATTCATATCATTTTTTAATGCAAAAAGACTGCAGGTTTATTTAAGCTTCTATAGGACAGAAAGATGTCACAGCACAGAGAGCGTCTCTATGATAAAGGAAAAAAAGGTATGTGTATGCCAATCACATGTCTGCACATAAGGTATCCAATAAGCTTCACAACTTAACTTACATTAATCTTATCAGTTGTCGAATATGAGAGGACACCCAGATCACAACTCACCAATACACACCGACCACCATCTGGTTTTTTCATACGCAAACAAACACGCACTACTAACTACAGTGTTTTGTCTTCCGATGATGATGACAATGTGCCCACGCAACTGCCTATGATGATTCCTATAGCCGGCAATCTCAAGGCCTTTCAGCCAGTGCCGCATGTGGAAACATCAATCGGTATCGCCCTTACACACGACTTTTTTTTAGTTTGCATTTATACATTTGTTAAAACAAAATGGTTCTTCAGGAAATCATTCTCGTGAAGGCACTTACTATGATCACCATGCATCACTGCGAGTAACAGAGAGAAGCATTGATCATAATATTGGTTCAGACATAGCACTTGGACTCGACACTGAAGACAATGTCCCCGAGCACATTGCTTCAAATGATATCATTAAATCAGATAGAAAACAGAAAAGGCGAGATCAATATATAGCACGGCGAAATAGATTAACACTTGAACAGAAGGAGGAAATCAATGCACGTCGCAGAGAAGCTAGGAAAAAAAAAACAGAGGAGGAGAGGACTGCCCGTCAAAGAGAAGCCAGGCAACGAATGACACCAGAGGAGAAGCAACAGAGTAACACCCTTAGAAGGGCGGCGTACCAAAATATGTCAGTCCATGACAAGCAAGAGACAAACGCCCGCCGAAGAACACGTCTGCAAAACATATCACCTAAGGAGAAGCAGAACATGCTAGCTCACCGCAAGAAGAGACTCGCGGCTAGGTGCAACACCCCTTGCGCTGAATCCATCGCCATGCCGCGCCCTGATGCAGATACCTTAGCTACACCCAACCTGATGTCGAGCACTCATGCATTGGCATTCAGAGAATCTGAAGCTTCAGCTCCTGCCCCTGCCCCCCGGTTTGCGAGTAAGGCTGGGAACAACTTCGAATCAGACGGTAACCCTTCCATCTTTACTTTACTTGTTGTGTCCATGTGCATTGAACCAGGATTTAACGGCTCCACAATGGTGCAGGCGAGTACCTTAGTCGTACCCTGGATGATAATGATGCCCCCAGCGAACTCATAAATCCCTCGCAGCAAACCAATGAACACCAAATAGACGACCAGCAGAATCAAGCCCGTGAGAAGAGGCAGGAGAGCAGAGCACAGCGTAGGGCTCGGGAGCGAGCTCAGAAACAAAGTATTGGAGCAAAGAACATTCAAGGGAGTGCCTTAAAATGAAGAGTGCGCGGGAAAAG